TCATGGTGGATATGCATCCTAAAGTTTCAAATGCTGTAAATATGATAGTATGAATATTTCTCTAGAAGGGTCATCTTTTAGAAATTCGTAGCAGGGCGAAATTGGCAAGAAATTTGCGAAGCAATTAGACGATGCTAGACGCATTTGACATGATATGGCCTTTCGACGACTTGAGCCGCATAATAACACCGTTTCTAGCGATCTCGCCTGCGTTGGGTGTTTCGGATATTAAACATGTTTATATCGTTGGTGCTTCAAAAAAGCGCAACAAATGATATTATGTCATCAACATATCAATTTCTTACTCCTCAAAAGCGTAAATTTACGGATACCAAAGTTGTTGTATTCACGGAAGGATAAAATTAACACAGCCGGGCCGTGCGCGAAATTAGACAGTTCAACTTTGCGCGAGTTATTTATCGCGGTCTCGCGACGTGGAAGTAAGTTGACCGCATGAAATCACTTTTGAATACATTCTCCAGAATGGTCATCGATCAAATTCTTAAGTTTTTCATTATAAAGGTAACAAAATAAGGTTTTAAACGAGCTTTGCGATCTATCCGGCCGCTGACCATTCCCTTTGTCAGAAAAAACAGTGATCTTTCAGAAGCTACTATGGACGAACGGAACAGAATAATGTTTTCATTTTCCGTCACGTACTAAGGAATATGACAAGAAAAAATGGTCTTTCAAAATAATTAAATATCCGTCGGTAGTTAAGCGTCCAAAGCAGTTTGTTTACAAACTAGTCATTCCAGCTCCAGATTGAAATTGTATCTGGAGCTGGCTCCAGATTCGCCAATCTGGAGCTGCCAATCTGGAGCTGTCTGGCTCGTCATATCCCAGAGCCACAAAATAAATAATAAGACCAGAAGTCTCACTCGATGTCGGAATCTTTGATGTTGATGTCCCCGCGCATGTCGCCTCGCGCATCTTGGCCGTGTCTCGTTTCCAGTGCCCTAAACAAGTGTAATTTGACAAATTTACATGTAAACATTAAGGAGTGAGGAAGTTAAAACGATACCAATCGAGTTTTAGAGCTTTGGTGACCATTTTAAAAGAATATATGATAAATTCAAAGGTAAGTCTATCGTATTGCATTGTCTTAAATGAATTCTCAGCTAAAATACGGCAATAAATGGATCATAAACTTAGCTAAATTTACTGTTGACAACGAGGTTGACAGATCCATTGCTTTTTTGCCTTGAATAGCTTTACCATAGTCATTTTACCTTAAAATGTAGCTACCGAGGATATCTCTAAGAGATTTTACACAGATTATTTGCACAATCTCACGATTTAATCATGCTGATAACATGAAAATCCTTGTGCCATTCTATACTTGGCATAATCTCTACATCAATAGTTCACCAGTTCACTAATATAAATTCAATATATTTTTGAACCAGTCCATATATTATTATACACAATGTAGTATAGTTAATTTGACCATACTTGAGAAGTAAGGGTGTATTTCATTACACAGACACTGCTGAATTTTAGGTTACATGCCATTGGATTGATATATAAAAAACACTTGTAAAACACACACATTATCTTGTTGATAGAATAGTTATTTGCAGTATACTAACTGTTGGCATACTCTATTTCAGGACTATCAATTGTTTTTGTCACTGGCAGTCTTTGAAATACAATCTTGCTCTGTGGCCTTTACTGACAAGTTGGCTTTTACTACATATGTGGCACTGACACTTCTTTAATTAATGCACCAGTCAATGTAAACCCCCCAACCAGGGAGGGGCAGGGATTTTGACTTGGAGGGGTAGTAAAAAAGCGAAATTGTCCCCGCCCCCAGGGACGTCAATGTCCCCTGCATGTCTCTTAACCCCAGGAAAATAGTTTTGTATAATCATAGATCAGCAATAGAAAATCAAATTCATTTATGTTGTTGTATTTAAACTTTTCTTGTCAAGAAAACTAAAACAGCAACACAGGATATATATGTTAACCACTGTCAAGTCTCCCATCATCGGGGACAAATTTATAATCAAAACTGACCACTTTCCCTGTTAAACCTTCCGCCCCTCCCCGGTTGGGGGCAGGGATTTACATTGACTGGTGCATAACTAGATGATTGCATGAAGCATTGCATGGAAGTTGATTTATAATTAGTTTATGAATAAACTCACACTTTCATTATAATGGTTGATCAAATATATCATATGCATTTGATTGGTTGATGGTCCCTTAATGGTAATGGTAGTCAAATCTGAACCTATATAATGTCAATATACTGGAAAAGTATCAAATTAAATTTTAATTGTCAATGTTGTGGGAAAGTAAATAAATCAAACAATTCTGTTTGTTTCAACTAACTAGTTCACTATCACTTTGGTTTTCAAATCAAAGAATCTTTAACCTGGTTGAGCTTTTGAAAAAGTAGCTGATTGATTGAACGCAAGATTATTTTACTCTGTCTAACGCCAGACAATTTCACTCGTCAAGGGGAAAGTGCTGCCACTCAGTGAACTCAATCAGAGCTCAATGAGCAGCAGCACTCTCCCTCGATAAGTAAAATCATCTGGCATTAGATGAAGTGAAATAAACTAGTAAAGTAGGGTGCATTGGGGCACAATGCAGCTTACTGGGTTAACTGGAAAATATATTTATTAAACAATATACACCCTATACTTGTATTTCAATTCACAGCATGATTTAGTATATGCTTATGTCTATTTGACCCAAGTACCTGACAGGAATGATATTTGAATCACACCTGTATTCATTGAACAAAGCTAATTTAAATGTAAACCATGCAAATGTAAAAACTAGCTAGAGCAAAAACACACCCACACAGCTTTGTTTTTTTCTTTTTCTTGAGAAGGAATAACTGAGACTACTGAGTTACAATGAGACCAGTATCAACAATTTCAAAAAGGTATTGTACAAAAATATTACAAACATAAGACACTTTACAGACAGAAAAAACACGAAGTATGTCACTACAGAAACTGTATTCTGTGATATAGATGATATTGCTTTAAAGAAACTTGCAGCTTTTAGCAGTTGTGTGAGGGCCTGTTTATATCGAAACTGGCTGGCCCGCTAAGTGAGACAGCCCGGTAAGTGAGATCTCGCTGTCTAGTTATTTTTATAGTACAAATTATCATTTCTATCGACAAGCGGGCAGGCCCGGTTGCCAAGACCAGGATGGAAATTTCTCCACATAAACAATCATAAGCAGGCTAGCCCGGTTGCCGGGATGAAAGTTCAAAGATACTGCCGCAAGCTATTTTTAACAACCGTCAAAATAATGTCAAAACAACAAAATTGTCCCGGCAAGCGGAATGAAATTTTCTCAAATAAACACAAGAGAAATCATCCTGCTTACCTACCTTACCGGGCTGTCTTCCTAAGCGGGCCAGCCCGGCTTCCATACAAACAGGCCCTAACAGTCTCTGTCAGGCAATTACAATGTTCTAATGTCCAAACTCTAAAGTATTATAAACAAGCAGAACAGACCACTTATTGCAAGTTGCTGGTATTAAGTCATATCAACATGTGATCTCGACAATATACAGTGTATAAACTAAAGTAATTCAGCTTCTACACAGGAAGCGACTTTAAACACTATCCTTACACTTTATCAATTCATTATTTGTAGTATTAAATCATAAGACATATTCTATTTGTAGTATCAAGTCACATCAGGATTTTATAATCTAGCGTCTTTGGACCAAAGGGATCTAGAGTTCTATCTTGTTAAAACCTATCCAAGGAAAAACAAGAAAGGGATATTGAAGTAATGGTGTTTTTGAGCCAAATAAATTCGAATATCCACAAGTATAAAAGCAGAACTCCATATATACCGGAGACAAAATGGCATTATAGCGAACACATTTTAATGATGCTCAAATTTATATTCAGTGCGCTATATTTTTAAAAATATGACCCTGTTTGCTTTCTAAATACAACAAAATTACTGCTTTACCTTCTGTTCAAATAGTTCCACAGATAAATCGAAGTCACAATTCGCACTACTTGAAAAAAAGCTGTTTTTACTGTAGAAATGACAACTTCCCAATATAATTTTCTATTGTCAACACTGCATTGCACTTGTTTAGCTCGCGCATGCGCAGTATAAAAGATGGGACATGTTTCCGCTTGAGTAAGACTTCTGTGCCAGAGCCTTCGTTTCCTTCCCAAGGATCGCAGGCTCGGGGAACGAGATTGCCTGCTGGGGGTAATAAATCCATGTCCTATATACGCGAATATGAGACACACTCGCTCTATATTCACATGTACACCGTTATCCACTGTTATCTAGCCGTCATCTAGTGTCATCTACCGTCATCTAGTGTGATCTACAGTCATCTAGTGTGATCTACAGTCCATCTACTGTCATCTACTGTCATCTACCGTCATCTAGTGTCATCTAGTGTCATCTACCGTCATCTAGTGTCATCTACCGTCATCTAGTGTACCGTCATCTAGTGTCATCTAGTGTCATCTACCGTCATCTAGTGTCATCTACCGTCATCTACCGTCATCTACTGTCATCTAGCTGTCATCTACCGTCATCTACCGTCATCTACCGTCATCTAGTGTCATCTACTGTCATCTACTGTCATCTACCGTCATCTACCGTCATCTAGTGTCATCTACTGTCATCTACCGTCATCTACCGTCATCTAGTGTCATCTACTGTCATCTACTGTCATCTACCGTCATCTACCGTCATCTAGTGTCATCTAGTGTAATCCACCGTCATCTAGTGTAATCCACCGTCATCTAGTGTCATCTACCGTCATCTAGTGTCATCTAGTGTCATCTAGTGTCATCTAGTGTCATCTACTGTCATCTACCGTCATCTACTGTCATCTACTGTCATCTACTGTCATCTACCGTCATCTAGTGTCATCTACTGTCATCTACTGTCATCTACTGTCATCTACTGTCATCTACTGTCATCTACTGTCATCTACTGTCATCTAGTGTCATCTACCGTCATCTAGTGTCATCTACCGTCATCTACCGTCATCTAGTGTCATCTACCGTCATCTAGTGTAATCTACCGTCATCTAGTGTCATCTACTGTCATCTACTGTCATCTACTGTCATCTAGTGTCATCTACCGTCATCTACTGTCATCTACTGTCATCTACCGTCATCTACTGTCATCTACTGTCATCTACCGTCATCTACCGTCATCTACTGTCATCTACCGTCATCTAGTGTCATCTACTGTCATCTACTGTCATCTAGTGTCATCTACTGTCATCTACTGTCATCTACTGTCATCTACTGTCATCTACTGTCATCTACTGTCATCTACTGTCATCTACCGTCATCTAGTGTCATCTACCGTCATCTAGTGTCATCTACCGTCATCTAGTGTCATCTACTGTCATCTACCGTCATCTACTGTCATCTACTGTCATCTACTGTCATCTACTGTCATCTACTGTCATCTACCGTCATCTACTGTCATCTACTGTCATCTACCGTCATCTACCGTCATCTAGTGTCATCTACTGTCATCTACTGTCATCTACTGTCATCTACTGTCATTTACCGTCATCTAGTGTCATCTATCGTCATCTACTGTCATCTAGTGTCATCTACTGTCATCTACCGTCATCTACTGTCATCTACTGTCATCTACCGTCATCTAGTGTCATCTACTGTCATCTACCGTCATCTAGTGTCATCTAGTGTCATCTACCGTCATCTACTGTCATCTACTGTCATCTACTGTCAACTACCGTCGCCTACCGTCGTCTACCGTCATCTAGTGTCATCTACCGTCATCTAGTGTGATTTACAGTCATCTACTGTCATCTACTATCATCTACTGTCATCTACCGTCATCTAGTGTCATCTACCGTCATCTAGTGTCATCTATCGTCATCTACCGTCATCTAGTGTCATCTACCGTCATCTAGCGTCATCTAGTGTCATCTAGTGTCATCTACTGTCATCTAGTGTCATCTAGTGTCATCTACCGTCATCTACTGTCATCTACTGTCATCTACCGTCATCTAGTGTCATCTACTGTCATCTACCGTCATCTAGTGTCATCTACCGTCATCTAGTGTCATCTATCGTCATCTACCGTCATCTAGTGTCATCTACCGTCATCTAGTGTCATCTACCGTCATCTAATGTAATCCACCGTCATCTAGTGTCATCTACCGTCATCTAGTCATCTATGTCATCTACCGTCATCTACTGTCATCTACTGTCATCTAGTGTAATCCACCGTCATCTACTGTCATCTACCGTCATCTAGTGTCATCTAGTGTCATCTACTGTCATCTACCGTCATCTACTGTCATTTACCGTCATCTACCGTCATCTAGTGTCATCTACCGTCATCTAGTGTAATCCACCGTCATCTAGTGTCATCTAGTGTCATCTACCGTCATCTAGTGTCATCTACTGTCATCTAGTGTAATCTACCGTCATCTACTGTCATCTACTGTCATCTAGTGTCATCTACAGTCATCTGCAGTCATCTACTGTCATCTAGTGTCATCTAGTGTCATCTAGTGTCATCTACTGTCATCTACTGTCATCTAGTGTCATCTACCGTCATCTAGTGTCATCTACTGTCATCTACTGTCATCTACCGTCATCTACTGTCATCTACCTGACATTTACCTTCATGTAGTTTAGTAGACATGGCATTGCAATCTAACCAAACCAAGCGAATAATCATCTACCGTCATCTAGTGTAATCCACCGTCATCTAGTGTCATCTAGTGTCATCTACCGTCATCTAGTGTCATCTACTGTCATCTAGTGTAATCTACCGTCATCTACTGTCATCTACTGTCATCTAGTGTCATCTACAGTCATCTGCAGTCATCTACTGTCATCTAGTGTCATCTAGTGTCATCTACCGTCATCTAGTGTCATCTACTGTCATCTACTGTCATCTACTGTCATCTACTGTCATCTACCGTCATCTACTGTCATCTACCTGACATTTACCTTCATGTAGTTTGTAGACATGGCATTGCAATCTAACCAAACCAAGCGAATAACTAACAACTAATATAATCAACAACTTTGATCTGCCTTATCACACTTGCAAATTAAAAATGGATTTAAAACTTTACAAGTTCTTCCAAACTCCAAAACGCTGGAAATGCCATTTCAGTGTACGAAAATTTAAAAAAAATTTTGGGTAGCAAACCTTCCTGATTTGGAGTCGGTAATCTATGCACAGAAATTCTTAATTTTGTAACAGCCAGGCGGTGTTTAACATTTTGCTGAAGTCTTTTAGTTTTCCATTTTCTTTCAGTTGTTTTTTTAAAATAATTCTTAAACTCTTCATTAATTTAAGTGTATTTTTCAAATAATGGAAAAAATTTCCCTGAGTGTCATGAGGGACTGTAAAGTACCTAAGATTTCCAACATTCCAATTTGCACATTTTCAGTAAATAATCCGTACAAATTGCTGGTTGAAGATTAATATATGCATACACACTCCAGCAGCATCGCCAGGCAGATATAAAAACTTGCATCCTCAATGTGTAGCCAGCATTTAACGACATGCAAAGAAATTTGTACATGTCCAATTAATGGTATCCTTTCTAATTCAGCATAAATTGCTATATTTGTAAAATCGGGAAATCGACAGCTGAATCGGGTGTTGGGGCATCGATTTCCCGTTTGTAGTTTAAAATAACTGAAAAATGCAAATTTCGAAGGCCATTTTACAACATTTCGCAACGAAACCTATATCAAAATTTAGTCTATAATGCAAATGGTCCATTGCGTATTCATTTTCCGGATAGCAAATACCTTTGTGGCTTCGTAAGCGATGAAATATTCGGAATTTTTTTTCGTCATTCCGAAATTTCTGGGCTACACCCTTCAACTATACTGCTCGCCATTACTTCTGGAAAATGCCCCCCCCCTCCAACTTCTTGATGCTTTCTACGCCCCTGCCGGAAAAAATGTTTTCCTATATGGCATATGAACACAACTTTCCCGCTTGGTGGGATAACTTTCTGTCGTGCCAGAAACTTTTCAATTCAATTGATGTTCAATGCTACGTACTGTAGATCACACTAGATGACGGTAGATGACACTAGATGACGGTAGATGACGGTAGATGACAGTAGATGACAGTAGATGACAGTAGATGACAGTAGATGACGGTGGATGACGGTAGATGACGGTAGATGACACTAGATGACGGTAGATGACACTAGATGACGGTAGACGACGGTAGTTGACAGTAGATGACAGTAGATGACAGTAGATGACGGTAGATGACGGTAGATGACACTAGATGACACTAGATGACACTAGATGACGGTAGATGACGGTGGATTACACTAGATGACGGTGGATTACACTAGATGACGGTAGATGACGGTAGATGACACTAGATGACGGTAGATGACAGTAGATGACAGTAGATGACAGTAGATGACGCTAGATGACAGTAGATGACAGTAGATGACGGTAGATGACGGTAGATGACAGTAGATGACACTAGATGACAGTAGATGACACTAGATGACGGTAGATGACACTAGATGACGGTAGATGACAGTAGATGACATAGATGACACTAGATGACAGTAGATGACACTAGATGACGGTATATGACACTAGATGACGGTAGATGACACTAGATGACACTAGATGACGGTAGATGACAGATGACAGTAGATGACAGTAGATGACGATAGATGACGATAGATGACAGTAGATGACACTAGATGACACTAGATGACACTAGATGACGGTAGATGACACTAGATGACGGTAGATGACAGTAGATGACAGTAGATGACACTAGATGACGGTAGATGACAGTAGATGACACTAGATGACACTAGATGACGATAGATGACAGTAGATGACAGTAGATGACTGTAGATGACACTAGATGACGGTAGATGACACTTGATGACGGTATATGACACTAGATGACGGTAGATGACACTGGATGACGGTAGATGACACTAGATGACGGTAGATGACAGTAGATGACAGTAGATGACGATAGATGACAGTAGATGACACTAGATGACGGTAGATGACACTAGATGATACTAGATGACACTAGATGACGGTAGATGACACTAGATGACGGTAGATGACGGTAGATGACAGTAGATGACGGTAGATGACAGTAGATGACGGTAGATGACAGTAGATGACAGTAGATGACAGTAGATGACAGTAGATGACACTAGATGACGGTAGATGACAGTAGATGACAGTAGATGACAGTAGATGACACTAGATGACGGTAGATGACAGTAGATGACAGTAGATGACGGTGGATTACACTAGATGACAGTAGATGACAGTAGATGACTGTAGATGACACTAGATGACGGTAGATGACGGTAGATGACAGTAGATGACACTAGATGACGGTAGATGACACTAGATGACAGTAGATCACACTAGATGACGGTAGATCACACTAGATGACGGTAGATGACGGTAGATGACAGTAGATGACAGTAGATGACAGTAGATGACAGTAGATGACAGTAGATGACTGTAAATCACACTAGATGAC